ATTAGGGTTGGAGGGGACCTCTGGAGATCATCTCAAGACCCCAAAGCAGGGCCACCTAGAGCAGGTTACACAGGAATGTGTCCAGGCATGTTTTGAATGTCTCCAGAGTGGGAGGCTCCACAACCTCCCTGGGCAGCTTGTTCCAGTGCTCTGCTGCCATCAACATAAAGAAGTTCTTCCTCATACAATCATGGAATAGTTTGGGTTGGAAGGGACTTTCAGAGGTCATCTAGTCCAATCCCCCTGCAATGAGCAGGGACAACTTCGTCTAGATTAGGTTACCTAGAGCCATCCAGCCTGGTCTTAAGTATCTCCAGGGATATCACCACCTCTCTGGGCAACCTGTGCCAGTATTTCACAACCCTCATTGTAAAGAATTTTTTCCTCATACCCAGCCTGAATCTCCCCTCTTTTAATTTAAAACCATCACCCCTCATCCTGTTTCAACAGGCCCTCCTAAGAAGTCTCTCCCCATTCTGTTTTAGTTTATGGCCATTGCTCCTTGTCCTGTCACTGAAAAGAGTCTGGCACCATCCTCCTGGCACCCACCTTTGAGATATTTATATGCATTAAAGAGACCCCCTCTCAGTCTTCTCCAGGCTAAATAGGCCCAGCTACCACAGTCTCTCGTCATAAGAGAGATGTTCTGACCATCCTTGTGGCGTCCACTGGACCCTCTCCAGTAGCTCCTTGTCTTTCTTGTGCTGAGGAGCCCAGAACTGGACTCAGGACTCCAGATGTGGCCTCACCAGGGTTGAGTAGAAGGGGAGGATCACCTCCCTCAACCTGCCAGCCACACTCCTCCTGATGCACCCCAGGTTACTATTGGCCCTCCTGGACACAAGGACATACTGCTGGCTCATAGTCAGCTTGTCATCTACCAGTGTACCCGGGTCCTTCTCAGCTGAACTGCTTTCCAGTAGGTCAGCGCCAACCTCTCCTGGTCCTTGGGGTTCTTCCTCCCTAGGTGCAGTGCCCTACACCTGCCCTTGTCGAACCTCATTAGGTTTCTCTCTGCCCAGTTCTCCAGCACATCAAGGCCCTGCTGCACAGCAGCACAACCTTCAGGTGTATCACCCACTGCCCCCAGCTTCCTATCATCAGCAGAAAAAAATAATTAAAAAAAAAAAAAAAAGTACAGGGCATTGATAAACAAGTTGAATAAGACTTGACCCAGTATTGATCCCTGGGGAACAGCACTGACTACAGGCCTCCAACTAGATTGGTCAAGCAAGATTTCCCCTTGGTGAGCCCATGCTGACTACTCCTGATGGTCTTTCCTTCTACATGCTTGGTGATGACCTCCAGAATGACTCGGTCCATCACCTTTCCAGGGATGGACATGAAGCTGACTGGCGGGTAGCTTCATGTCCATCCCTGGTCGTCCTTCTTGCCCTTTTTTTAGATGTAACATTAGCCTTCCTCCAGTCATCGGGCACCTCTTTAGTTCTCCATGATTTTTCAAAGATGATGGAGAATAGCAGAACGACAACGGCTGCCAGCTCCCTTAGAAGCGTGGGTGCATCCCATCAGGGCCCATAGATTTATGGGTGTTAAGTCTGTCTAGACAATCTCTAACCCAGCCCTCTATGACCAGGGGGAAGTCTTCCTTTCTCCAGCCTTCTCCTCCTACCTCTGAGATATGGGACTCCTGAGAGCAGTCCTCAGTGGTAAAGAAGGAGGTAAAGAAGGCATTCAGTAATTCTGCCTTCTCTGGGTCTTCTGTTACCAGGACACCCATCTGATTCAGCAGCAGCCCCGCATTTTCTCTAATTCTCCTTTTGCTGCTGATATACTTGCAGGAGCCCTTCTTGTTGTCCTTGATGTCCTTTGCCAGACTCAATTGCAAAGGGGCCTTGGCCACCTTTGTTGCATCCCCGCATACCCTTGACAACGTTCCTATAGTCCTCCCACTTGGTCTGTCCCTTTTTCCATATTCCGTAAATTTCTTTCTTGTGTTTAAGATTTACTAGCAGCTCCCTGCTCATCCATGTTGGTCTCCTGATTTCTTTGTCATGGGGATACACTGGTCTTAAACTTGGAGAAAGTGGTGCTTGTATATTGACCAGCTCTCTTGGACTCCCTTGTTTTCTAGAGCCCTTTCCCACGGGATTCCTCTAAGTAGGTCTTGGAAGAGGCCAAAATCAGCTCTCTGGAAGTTTAGGGTTCCGGTCCTGCTTACTACTTTGCCTTCCCCATTTCGGAGAGGTAATCAAATAACCAGGTTCTTAACAAGGGCTGTCAGAGGATTCACCATAACCATAAGCACCCTCAGTGTGGTTAGCCCTTTGATCCTCATTTTGAGAGGATGTCAGGAGACATTTGTCACTCTGCTGGTTGGTATGACCTACTCCCCAGGAGGAAGCAATTGCATGAGCACTGCCATTTTGGACCCCACCCTTCAACTCCTGTCACAAGAGTCATTACTTCTTAAATATAATTTAAAGATAAACTACATGAAAGTAACCTTAATCTTTTATATTTATGCCAGTAAAATGGCACAGGAGTAAAAAGATACCTGGTCATTATTGGTCTTGTAAAATTGCATTGAACTGTGTTCTTGGACAAAAGAGTTAGGTAAGTTCATGCTTGTCAGAGACCAGTAATTAGACTGAAAAAAAATGACTCCATTTAAAATAATGGTGCCTGTATTCTTCAAGTGTTATTGCTACGACTATTTAAAGAGGGACAGAAGTTTATATATTTGGGTAAGTGTTCTATTGTAAATAGCTGTATTTTCTTCTGATCGTATAGGAAAATGAAAAATGTTGTTTCTGAGAATATCACAGTATCTTTTTAGGGGTAAGAAAATGAGAACTTTAACAGTTTACTTTAAAAGTATTAATAAATTGCGCAGATTCAAAGTTGGGGTTGTAGAGTTTACTCAGTTCAAATGTATTCGAAAATTGTCTTTAGTCTGCACACTAAAAGTTACTGGTAGATCATAAAATCATAGAATGGTAGGGTTGGAAAGGAACTTAAGATCATCTAGTTCCAATCCCCCTGCCATGGGCAGGGGCATCTCACATTAGACCATGTAACCCAAGGCCCTGTCCTACCTGGCCTTGAACACTGCCAGGGGTGGAGCATTCACCACTTCCTTGAGCAGCCTGCATTGTTGAACTTCATGAGGTTGGCATTGGCCACTTCTCAAAAGTGTCAAGGTCCCTCTGGATGGCATCCCTTCCCTCCACACACCGCTTGGTGTGGTGCAGTTGATAAACTGCAAGCAGACTTGCAGAGGGCGCATCAATCCCACTGTCCTTGTCACCAGCAAAGGTGTTAAACAAGAATGGTCCCAACACCGACCCCTGAGGGACAGCACTCATTACTGGTCTCCATTTGAACATTGAGCTGTTGACCGAGATCATTAATGTATGAAAAAAAAACGATACCAGAGATTAGAGAAAGAAACACTAGGTAAAAAGTTGAAAATGACATCTGATGTGGAAGTTTTTTCCAGGGGTTTTTGCTCAGTAACATCCTGTATGTGTTGTTCTAATTACAGGCACACATCAATTGAGTTTTGAGGAGATGGGAAGCCTTTCTGCCTTTTCTTCGTCATAATTTGTTCTTCATTCAGTATGATACGTGTGAAACTTAATGTGCCTTCTGAAGCCCCCACTGAATACATACTCAGTTCCTCGTGTTTTCTTCAGCTTTCACCAATGTTGTGCTCACACTTCTGAACATTTAATAGTTCATCTTTACAGATACTCATTTGAGGTGATGACTGTTACTAGCCTGGCTTTTCAGTTCAGAAACAGGTGCTCAGAGGTGGAGATCAAGTTTGTTACGTGCTCTCTAACTTCTGAAGTTTTTCAACAGAATTCTTTACAGCCTGATGTTGTTCACACACTCTTCCATTTCTGTAGCACCTTTTGGCTTTAAATCCCAGCTCTTTCAAGCTTATCATATTATTGAAAGTGTTCACTAAGTATTCAGATCAGCCCCTCCATGTTGAATGTGGCAGTCAGGAGAAGGCAAGATAAAAGCCCTTTCTGCTTGCGTAGCTGCTGGGAGTCTTGAACATCCTGCTGTTTGCAATTATCTCTTCCACTTGGTTACACAGTCAGAGCTATGGGTAGGGCAAGAGAAGATGGACACTCATCAGTGGAAACATGTACACGGTAAAGTTTGGTAACTCATAGTGCATTGACCAGACAAATGGGATTTTCATGCTAAGCATTCAGCTTTTTCAGCCTCTGTGTTCTGTATGTGTGGTGTCACTGTTCATGTAATTTCCTAGCCGTTCTTTATAACTTGTTTAAAGAATTCAGAATCGCTTTTCTGCGGTTTTCTGCATATTCCTTACTTTTGCAGTTTTGAACTCATGATTGTGGAGTTCCTTTGCAGCAATATCTTCTGGAAATTTGTTTGCATACTGAACGTGTTTTATTAATGCTACTTCTACAGGATAGAGTGGAGCCGAATATCCTTGTGGCAGTAAGGCGGTTTTAAAAATGGCAGCATCCTTCTGCTCTGTATAACTGTGGTTTTAGTATTTGCGTGATGTAATTGTTAGGCCACATTTTTTGGTGGTTTTAACAAGAGAAGATGACAATTCCTCACTATACTTTCACAGCACAGAGTGGGCTTGGGGTCACCCTTGAGGTGTGATGCATAGAATGGAATGAGACTTCATGTTGGATCAACATAATTATTTTAACTCTTAACTCTGAAAAAGATCTGATAATCTTTTTAACAGTAGAATTAAAATACTGAAAACAGATGTATAATGGACAGTGAGGCAAATAAAACAAAGTTAAAGCTTCTATTTCTCAGCACCAGAAATGTTATTTTTAGATTCTTCTATCTAACATCTATTGCTGAAATTTGTTTATGGATTTGAATGTGTCCTTATATGTCTATAGTTCACTAAAATTGTGATTAGAAAGCAGGTGCTCTAGCTGAGTGAAAAGTGCAATATTTAATTGTCATTTTATCTGTTCTTGGCTTACAGCATTCACCAGCCCTTGTTTTGTACTTAACAGGTCACTACCCAAGTCTCTATGCCAACAAAAACACATGAACTGCTTCATCGAATGAGTGGAAAAGGTTTAGCAGCTCATTATCGCTTCTCAAGACAGCCAGGCATTTTTGGTGATCGTATGGTATCTGTGCAAGTGACAGTAACAAATACAACTGATCACAAGATAGAGAATATTCACATCGAAGAGAAGAAATTACCTCCAGGCATGAGGATGCATGAGTTTAGTCCAATAGGTAATTGTATCCTATCTTTAAAAATACAAAATCTTAATGTTTTGCAGAACTTTAAATATAGGAAAGGGGTTTTGCATAGTCATAGATGTTCTCATATATATATGTATACATACACACACTCATGCAGCTGTATTTTCTTAGGTAATCTGATACTAAAAGAAATTAATTCGGCTTTCCCCTACTTGTATTTGACATCAAAAATAACTCCTTAGATAACAACTTCTGTGCCTGAAATCTTACCTGCTTTTTCAAGTAACATTCATATAATATCTGTTCCAGTCAATATAATAAAGTTTTTCTGTCTTCCCACAAACTTTGATTCTCTTACAGCCTTAATCCAGAATGGCTATAATGGGCTACTATTTAGAATGAGGTTTTGATTTATATTCACAATTATTTTCTCTCCAACCTTTCAGGACGTGTTCCAATGTCACACTACCCTCAAAGTGAAGAATTTCTTCCTAATACCTAATCTAAATCTACCCTCTTTCAATTTAAAGCCACTCCCCCTTGTCCCTTCGTGCCCTTGTAAAAAGTCCCTCTCCAAATTTCTTGTAGGCCTCTTTCAGGTACTGGAATACTGCTATAAGGTCTGCCTGGAGCTTTCTTTTCTGAACATTATCCTGTGAATCCAGGTCACATTAGAAGAATACAGAAACAGTTCTTAAAGCACAGCAGTGAAGAGTATTCTTTGTTCTCAGTAAATCATTAACATCATTAAAAAGGTGTTTGGTATTAAATTGCTGTATGCTATTGAAATACATATTTTTAATACTGAGAAGGCTCTACAGATTTACAACAAATAGCTACAAAAGCAGTGTAGAATGCTACAGTTTATTTCAGCGTTAAAATCTCGTAGCCATTTGCATTTTAATGATTATACATGCTTGATCAAGATTACTTTTAGAAAAGATACTACTTTTTGTATTAAGTGAACTGTTTAGTGTTTATTTCTCTAATAAAGACAGAGTTCTGATTTCATGTTAGTTTTGACCATCAGCCTTAATTTATGACCCTCCCTTTAAACATTTAAAGAAATAAAGCCACAAAGGCTTATAAGTAGAAAACCGGTACTTCTGTAAGTCAGACCAGGTGATACTGTACTCACAATAACAGTCAGGGAACAGTAGCATTTACTTCCCTCATGTGGGTGGGGGGGGGGAAACGGAAAAAAAAATAATAAGTTATCCAGTTCAGGTTTCTTGAGTTCCACAAGACAGTCCTATCCTTTAAAGTATTTATTTCCTCAAGAAAGACATTATTGTGGCATATGTCCTGTGAAGTTGCTGGTTTCTTCAGTGGAAAATAAGTAATGTATCATCTGAAGTTCCTTCAAAAAATGTTGTTTTTCTTGCTTGAATGCAAATTTTCTGTATTCTTTGTCACCTTATGTAGCTCAGTTTATATCGCCCATTCTTGTAACTATATTTTCTATTGCCAGCATTTGGAAAACGCATCCTTTAATTTGCCCAGCAGAAAGAAAAGAAGAAGTGTTAGTGTAGACAGGTATTCCTACTGGACTATGTCTAGTTTTGCCTCCATCTCTGCAATTAATGATGGCAATTGTCCTGATTTTGCCAATAGAAATGGACCAAATTATTTTACCTGAGTCCCTGTGCACAGTATTTTTTTGTTGGGTTAGGTGCCTTTGAAACCCTATTGGAGAACAGTAAGATCAAAGACTTCAGTAAAGCTTAGTTTGAATTTGAGCATGACCCTGTAATCTTTCAATGCTTTACACCGACCTCTTGAAATACTTTGTTTTCTCTTCATTTCCTAGCATTAGCTTAGTCTTTGCCTAACTGCATCACATACACATTTTCCATGTTTGTCAGAACTTACTCTTGAGCAGCTAAATTTTGTTTCCTTTTGTTATAGAGCAGCTGCCTACTCTTTAGTTCCTAAAAAGCATCAGATAAGTCAGTGAATAAACTGGAAATTAGACACTTTTCTGCCTGCCCAATAATTTTTATTTGAATTCCTGTATTTAACTGTGCTTTTAGGTTTTCTTTCTTGCAAGCTTGAGAAGTCGAACTGCTACAATGCTTGTTCTTAGTATGTCTGCTTATGCAAAGAAAGAGCTTTTCCGCCTACCAAAACAAAGCCTTACCTCTACGGCATTAAGAAAACAGTATAGTGATACAACCAAGAAACTAAGAATGAGCATGTCTTTTAATATCTTAATTTGAGAAGTCCACAAGTCTGCACTGCTTGTAAAGCACAAAATTATCTTCTATTTTGGGTTCATAATCTTTCTACTCCTTTCCATAACTAATGCAAGGAGAATACTGAGAAGTACGTAAATCGTACTAAATATGAAGTATTTTAAGTTGATCTCTTTTTCCATTACTGTGTGTGGTAATCTAAATTTTTTTAATGTTTGTAGTGGTTTCTCATTTATTAAGTAAATTTGCAAACTGATGTTACTGAAAGTGTTACTGTGCTGGATCTATACACAAATAAAATGATGTAACTTCAGTATTTTTTTTTCTGCAAAAAATTTTCCTAGATTTTCTAGGAAAAATTCTTACTTTGTTGATCGTGGGACTGTAAGATTAAAGGGCAGCATTTCATGTACACTGGCTGTGGGTAGACGGAATCCAAGACACTTAAACATGCAAGCGTGACATTTGCATGGTGCTTACTTGAAACAGAGCTACAAGTATTAGCAATTTTTATGGAGGTTTTGATTTTGGTTTTGTTTGTTTGTTTGTTCTAATACAGGTTTTCTAATTATGTACAGTTTGGGGGTTTGCATCTGAGTTTTTCTGTTGCTTTGCATGTGTAATTTACCTATTCAAAATGTTTTCATGTAGAATGCCTTGAGCCTGCAGGATCTGTTACCGTTTCAGTGGGTATTGACTTCTGTGATTCTACTCAGATGGCCAGTTTCCAGTTATGGTGAGTTCCTGGGTGAGGGGGGTAATTTTTTGCTCTCTGAAGGCACAAGTAGTGTATACTGGAAGTTTACTTGACAGTAGCAGACTTGCTGTTTATTAAATATTTAAAGAATTGAAGAACAGTTCACAACATGATGTATACCCAAGATGTTTTTAGCGAAATAAGATGAAGTTAGTGTTTGCTTTTACTATTACAAGGGTTATCAGTTTACTTCAGTCTGCTGAATATTTTGGCACTTCTAAAAACACAGATTTGATGGTAAGCTCAAATCTAGGTTTGAAATCACATGTGTGAGTTCAAAACCTCTTCGACAGGTTGTATTTGGGAGGTCCTGTTTTTCCCCTGGTACAAATGATACCAAGCAGAATTATGAACTCTTCTTCTGATGTAGAATTGCTTCTCTGTTCGAGCTTCATCTTTATTATTTACCCTTCTTGGGATTCTTCTTAATAACACTGCCTTGAAGGAAGCAGTCAGGTCTGACTAGTCTGCTGGAGTGTTTTGTGCGTGTTCTTCCTTGTAAAAAATCACAGGTCAAAAAAGCATATAGGGTGACCAATTTTACTACCTTGAGTGCTTATTATGACTGTGATCTATGTAACATGACTACATGAAACCAACCCCAAAATTTGCTGGCCAAAGAAACTTATTCCTTATGCTGTAGATTATTTAAAATTATTAAAGAAAGAGTGAAAAGTAACTGGCTGGCCAACTAGATTTTGTCGTATATCAATGGCATTAATGGCACATTCAAGAAGTTCCTTTGTATGAGTTCCTGTTGCATTATAGCTTGCCAACCCAGTGAGAGCTCTCTTATACACTAACACTTGAAATCAGGGAAAATTTATAGTAGCAGTGTCCAAACATTAGTAATGAGTGTATGGGAGAAAGCTAGACACCTTCTTTTAAGCATTATTTAGGCTTATAGTCTTGGAAACTATACAGATAGATCTGCATACTTTTTTTTTCTTTTCTTATTTTGATACAATGTTTTCTGACATATTTTGTTTCAAGAAGCACTACTGTATATATTCTGGATATTGAATAGACATTCTCGTTGCTGCGTTTCAGTTTAGGGAGGAAGCTTTTTGGGAAAGTTCCATGTCCTTTTCTTGAATGCTGTAGACATTTCAGTGTAGTTTTACTAAGCACAGCTTTTGCAACTTACCGGTTATTAAAGATAACAGGAAAATCTTAATAATACAGATGTACCCAAATGACTCCAAAAGAATTGTTACTAAAATAAAAGTTCTTGTTCCAGGGGCAAGGATTTATTTTTATTACTCCTCAAACGTGTTCCTATACAGTCTATGCTCATGTATAGTCATTTTAAGATACTACTACCTGCAGTAGGATGTTCGCAGCATGTACTTTATGTGTATCACATTGTTGAAGCTGGTCTGTATGCTGTTTGCTGGAATTTGGAACCAGCTTTGGACTGTTGGCTGATGCTATGTTAGTTTGGGAAGGGAAGTTCTCTTCTAGGCAATGCAATTTCATAATGGCTTCAAAATGATAGGCTCTCTTTTCTGAAATATATTTGGGGTTTGGTCTTTTTTTTAATAAAATATGCTCAGTTTATCAAGCAGGAACATACTTTTTTTTAAAAAGAGCAGATTTTTTTTCAAGGCATATTTTCAGTATAATAATGATTTGATTCCAAACTCAGACCATTTATTGCTGAGAATCTTAGCAGTGATGAGGATAAGCAATGTAGCATAACACATTGATTTTATGCAGATCATCACCGTTATGTTTTGGGAGGTCTGCTGTATTAGTGATATATAAAAACTGATTACTTTCTCCAACATTGCCTAGTAATTGTTTATTATTTTCCTATTAGACAAACAAGACAGATCAATATTCCTGAACACCGACCAGGCTATGAGTAACATCACTGTAAATAGATTTGCCTCAGACCTCAATGGTGTATTCATTTTAATGATTTGGACAATGTGAGTCCAATGACAAAGAGCTCAAGCTAAGTTTAAAATTAAATTAAGAATAGGAATTGCTTACTTTGTTCCTTTGCTAATTGATAGGGCCTTGCTGCTTTGACACTACTTCTTAGAAAATAGTATTAAAATAGATAAAATGTTCTTTGCATTCAAATTGCTATTTTACTGTTAAAACATGTATTGTTCAAAATCCTAGTAATGTTCAATATTATTGAAGAAATTGTGCAGTGTGATGTTTCAGGGGCACTATCTCAGAGAACTCAGCTGCAGCCTTTTTAACTTGTCATATTTATTAAAAAGCTTTTATCCAAAAAGAAGAAAGACTTGTAGAAGTTAGTCAAAATATAATTGAAATACTGTGGACAAAAAGGTGTTGATATTCTTGTTTTTCCTGCTAACATATCTTTATGAAAGACATTGACAGTTATTCTGCGTTTTTGTTAGAGTCATGTTCAGTGGTGGCGTGTTCCTGATCAAAATAATTTTCCTAACGTTGTTCTAAGAGAAGCACTTTGTCTTGCATCAAATGTAATTGATCCTGAAGCAGTGTAATCACAATTACTCACTTTCTTAATTGGCCTGCCCAAAATCAGAAAATGGAAACCGATCGGCAGTGTTTAAATCAATAGCTTTGTAGTAAAGCTTGTGGGGGTAGGGACATAGTGGTAATGGGTAGATCAATTGGTCTTAGATGCCAATCATGGTCTGTGTGTTTTGCATAGCAAACACTAACTCTCTGCTTGGGGATGTGCTGTTGTACTAGCGGTTCAATAAATACAAACTGTAAGAAGTAAAAAACTAACGTGAGTAATAAAATATTTAGATCTCTTCCTGAATTTGTTGTACAAGTCAAGGACAAACAAGGAGAAACTGCATTAGAGGGAGAGGTTTGAAGGCCTGAACCTTGAAAGACCTCATGAATACTATTTTTATTAAGCAAGATCACACATCTAATTAAAAAGAGATGATACACCTTAACGTGAAAACTGGTCCTAATGCATTTATTTAGATTATTAGATTGTGTATTAGGATGCTTACATTATGTACTCATAAGAGAACATCTCTTCATTGTTATTTTTCTTGTGTCACCTCCTTTCAGAGGCACATTCTTTCAGCCACGCTGCTGTGCTGCACAATAGTGCCTCTCAAGCGGAAAGTTAAAGAGGAATAAATGGAGGAACTTAGTCTTTTAAAAGATTTCTGTGAGCACTATTTGGCACTATGAAACTTACTTCCTTAACCCAAAGGCACCCACACCAAGTTATTCTGACAAAATGATACTCTCTCAGAAAAGCAAAGCTCTCGTGACTTTCTTTTTGGGTTACTTTGTTAAGATTCTGCAAGCAGGATATACATAACATAGAAGTATAAAGCAATTTGTTACTGGTAGTCTGGTAGCTTGTTGAGTCCTAGTTAAGCATTAGTATATTCATAACCCCCAGCAAGAGACCTCAGTCCTTGCAAGGCAGGTAGGCATCATTACATAGAGGAAAGGTAAAAACAGATCTTTGGTGATACAGACTGACTGCAGAACTCCACTGCAGAATTTTATTTTTCCTTGTCAGATTGTGTATGTTCCCATATTGCTGTGTTTTCTGTTGAATCCTGCAAAAAGTGAGACTGCACATGAGCCACTACTGTAATTTCTTCTATCGCTTCAGCCTTTTTTCTTGTAGAAGCAGGATGCTGTCTTTTCGTTTCTTCAGCAAGACTATGAGCAAAGTCTCCTAACCTTCTCCATTCCATGTTTTGCAAGAACTTAGTGTATGGCTCCTCCTCTTCCTTTTTTAATCATATGTGGAGATTTTTTGAATACAAGACAAAAATAGTGAGCTGGATTTGCACACATTCTCGGTCAAACAGCTACTAGGAGTGAAATAAAAAAGGATAATATAAATAGCAAGAAGAATATTCCCCAGCCTCTTATTAGAATAATAATTTTTAAAAGCTTTGAGAATCAAGACTTTAAAGACTGCTGTTGTGGAATCATACACAAGTGATAATACTATTTGTATTAGTTTTAAAGAAGATGTTGCCATCATTGTCCTCAAGTGTTTTGTCATGGCAGATAAATTCTTTCCCAGGAACCCTTTGGAGCCAATCTTTTTTAAAAAAAAATAAAAATAAAAAAATGAAGGGAAGAGAGAGAGAGACAATAGGGAAAATCGGCGCTGGCTTCACATGCCAGGTGTGTGCTGCTCCCACTGCAGCCATCTAAAGAAAAGTTAGAACTGTGCATCTTCTAAAGGATTACGTGTTAGTCTTGCATTGTCGTTTATCAGGTAGGACCAGTTGATTTCCAGATGCTCCTTCTGACCTGAATTGTTCTATGAAACTATAAATTACTCCCATTAAATCAGATATTGCTACATCTCTAATATAAATATGTAATAAAACAGATGCTGGTCAGTAAACAAAAGCTGTATATTTAGCCTGTAAAGTGTGTGCTAAAGCAAATGATATGAGGGAGGATGATTTTCTCTGGCTGAAAAAAAAAATTACTGAAGTACGCTAAAATTAAAGTAATGCAAAGCAAAACAGATTCAGGCTAAAGTGAAGTTAAGAGCAAAGTGGTTCTGAAGAACTAGCAATTTCTGCTTGCAAACTGAGAAGAGTTCATGGTTTATTGAAGAATGTCTTGCTAGCTTTTTAATCACTAGGGCAAAGGGAAGTGGCATGTTTGTTAGCAGCAGAGGTGTCAAGTGCTCCTCTTGAGCAGTTATAGCCATATAAAACCCAAGCTATGCTCACGCTTTTATTCCTTCATATTGTGAAAAGATTGTTATAAACAATTCAGAGCAAGTGGCATGTTCAGTCAATGTAGGACATGAATCATTGTACAGAAAACTGTTTTATCTGGTTTATGGTGAATTATGTAGTGCACATCTTGCTTTAATATGAAAGATAACATTGGTTAAATGATCAGTTGAACAATACCAATGAAAGTGTTGTTGAAAGTTTTAGTCACATAGTCCAAGCAGTGTATATAAGCAGCAAAAAGTTATGAGGCAGTTGATTAAAGACCTTTACTTCAGCTTCTAAGGTGATGGAGTTCCTGGTCAGTTTTCCAAGGAAATAAAAAATATATGTAATAAAAATAAATCTTACTTACGCAAACAATCCCTGCTCTTTTAGCACACTAATGTCTTTTTAGAGATGGACAGTATTTAAAGTAGTATATGGGAAAGAAAAATGAGACTTTGTTAGCTAAGCAAATTTTTAAAAGCAGTTCTTCATAATGATTCTTTATAAAGGAAATACTAGCCAAGTTTGAAGGAATTGTTTCAATGTATGTTTACTAAATAATACTTTTCAACAAAATTAATATTAATTCTGAATTTTATTTGAAAAACCCATATTTGAGATACATAAGCATAATTATAACACATCAAAAGTCAGAAAGTAAGACTGTACTAGTCCTAAACATTTGTGAAATTGTGAAATCAGATAATTATGGTAAGTATTAAAATTTTAAGTAATAGGATCTTAAAATGCTTTCCTGTTTTCAAGTTGCTTGTCTTGCATCTTTAGGACAAGACATGTACCTCTTCTATGTTTATGATATAGTGCTGGTTTTTCCATCAGTCTGGTTTTTTTCGGAATGTTGAAGTTGCAGAGTTAGAAAAAAATCAGTTTGAGGTTAATTTGGATATTAATAGATTAAATACATCGTCCATTCTAATGACTGTATCATTATATTTAAGTAGGATATCTGAGGCATATCAACCATCAATATGTATTGACTATTTAGTACATCAGGAAAAAAAAAAAAAGTATTCTATTCTAAGGATTTCTCATGCATCAAAGCATTAACAAAGATTTTGACTGGATGTACTGATCCTGAATTGTTAGCCTAATCCCTTATGGTATAGTTAGTCAATCAGATATAGCAGAATTAATGTATCTTGAGTTTTTATAGCCTTGGAGAACTCTAAGATGAGAGAGTTGGAAACTTGGATAATAGAATGAGTAGGGAGGGCAAGTTCACTGTAAGGTATTTATTTCTTAAGGAGGAATCTATAGCACTTGATAGTCGTGTGCTACTATTGATAGTAAGCTTTTTTAAATCTCTGCCATTATGAGAACTGCCTCAAATTCTGCAGTTTTTCAGCATGTTTTTACATCAACCGGTATGCTCTGTGGTTTCGTTACTCTAGAATTGTTTGGTTTTTTTAGACAATATTAATCCTATCTGTCTGAAATTAGATCTTTTCTAGGTTTAGCCATATTTCTGGGGCAGCTATTGTTGATGGTGGGATTTGTGAATAACAGTTCTTTTAAAGGAATTGTAAAATGTATAATAATTTGTCTTTTGAAGCATTTAGTTTGAGTGTGATGCTTTATAGATTACAAATAAACATTAATATCAGTAAAAGTTATATTTTCAGAAATACAAGAGCATGCATACTATATTAATACACATTTGTACTGGAGAAAATGGATCAGCTTTATTGATATAATAGATTAGCAGGCTTTTGGATTAATAAAGTAGGAATGACTCAGGTAGTTATTACACTGTTTAGAGATTCCGTGGTAAAATTGGACCTGATATGTATATATTAATCTTTGCTGAAGCACTTGGTTGATACTCTGTAATTTCTCTTTTCTCAGCACAAAGGATGATTGTTTCAATGTTAGCATTCAGCCCCCTGTTGGAGAACTGCTTTTGCCTGTCACTATGTCAGAGAAAGACTTTAAGAAGGAGCAAGGTGAGAAATACTTCAGCAGCTTCGATAAATGTATTTGGATGAGAAGAGGGCTGAGTGCGCCTTTCAATTTCCCAGCATACAGCAAGTGTTTCCTGTGTAGCTGTTTGCATTAGTCTCCATTAGTATTCAGTCCAATACTAATTATTTAATTTAAAAATCTTTTAGAAAGGATATACAGTCGTATTTGACAGCTTTTCAGTGTGCCTCTAAAAGCACAAAGCCTACCCTTTACTCTGAAACAGTCTTTTGGCTCAGAGAGTCTCTTGGCTCCCTGTCATGAAGTATGAATGTCTTTCCTACTAGCAGTAAAGCAGAAAGTTGAAACCACAGCTCAAGGAAATAAACCAAATATTCACTGATATGGTGTCTATCTTTGCTAGCCTTTATTCCAAGGCTGTGTTTAAATATTCTTAGTGTACCTGTTCCTTAGCTACTTTGAAGATTATTTTAATCTTTTTCTTTTCAACCACCTCGTATAAAAAATATTCTTGTTGGAATACTGTTTTAGAAAGGTGTCATGTTTTATATACTTCTGCATTCTCCTAATCTTGAGTCTTTAAAGAATGCAAGTTTCTGATGCTAGTCCAAACACAAACCTCCCTAAGAGCTTTTAGTGACGTCAATATTTTATACAATAATTAGAGAAAATTGTACTTAGCTTTTACTGTGTGTTAAATGGAATAGTCTATGCTGCTACCCTTAATTTGGATGTGATTCTTGGATGTTTTAAAATAGAAATGATTACATTTTGCATGCATTCAAATGTAATAGTGTTTACTCATCTATCTGAATGTATGGGGATTTACATGTGTAAATCTCTTCACACTGAGATGAGAATATACCCATGGGATCCTGTCTCATTGCTGTGTAAGGCTCAGAAACTCTGTATATCCATCAAGCAGTCAGGAACACCAATAAGTAATGCTATGTATTATTAATTATTGCTTTTGAGCATTTCTTGCTTTTGTGTTTTTGAATTATTAAGAAAGATTAAATATTGCCTAGATCATTTTCAGTTAAGCTTATGGCTGTACTGAAAAGTTAGGATTGTGCTTTGTGTTCTTAACCAATTGATACTTATTTGCTGTTCTTACCCTTTGCTGGCTAAAGCCTGCCTCTGCATTATACCTGCTCAGCAAACCAAGGTGAGTGATTGAACGAGGCTGCGGCACATACATTTTAAACTGTTCCCTTCTAAAAATTGTAGCTGAAGTTGTAGTGAAACAAAGGCAGATTACTGTGCTTCTCCCCCACCACCGCCTCGTTTTTTGTATTTGCTTGCTTTGTGATATTTGATAGAGTTTTTGTATGTTTTACTGTGACTGAGGGCTTTTTTTCCTCCTGACTGGCCATACAGAACCACGAGCACATAGAAGAAGTGTACTTGGAGAATAGCTGTGGTCCTCTGTGGAGTTGTTGCCAAAATTCCTTTTTCTTCTGCCATTTTACTTCTATGGTTGTTGATTATTTGTCTGAATAAATCTGGCAGCTGTTTGCTATGTTTAATAGAGCAGAAAGGCTACTCTGAATAAAGCTATTTGAAAATTTGTTTATATGAAGTATTTGTAAATCCATGAAGGTCTCTTGGCATTTCTGTATCGTGCGCTCTGTCTTCCTGAATTCATTCTTTTATGCAGGACTTGATGCTGGCAAATTTACTACAGGTTTAAAAACCTTTTCTATTGCAACTTTTTTTTTAAAGATATCAACTGTTTCAGAATATTCATGGTAATAGAGGTCTCAGTTCTAAATTTTACATAAGTATTTATTACAAAGATCTAGGAGCAGCTAGCATTTGGGGAGAATTACTGTGTGATCTTGTTAAATGAAAAATCCAAATTACAATAAAAAATGCAGAGCAATTTAGAAGTTGGTATATATTATTCTATTTTGTGTTTAACTTCAATTTGTTTGTATCCTCCAAATGAATCTGAGTTATATAACTTATTTTTCACTTGTCATGCTTTTTCTTTTTACTTTTTTTTTTCCTTGTTTTTTGGGCATAAGATGTTTCAAGTCTTGTACCTGGAGATGCCTTATTTTATTCACAACCAAAACAAATAGATAAAAAATAGTGAAAGAGTGAGGAGAATATTAGAAATGCAAGATTATATTGGGGGAGAATGAGAATATGTATAGAGTTTAGGGATTTTTACATCTAAATCGCATGTGTAACCTACTAAGAATGCTAAAGATGAAATAGCCGGTATTATACTGCTATGTAGAAGACAACTCATTGCTATATATCTTTACACTCGGCTGTTTTGCATTGTCTTTTATATTTGTATATGTCCATTTTCTTCCTGATGGCATAAGGAGAGGGGAACAGATAGGTTATTGAATATTCATGGCTGTGAAGGTTATATTGTGGTAGTGGCAGAACCTAGAAAGCTGCAGTTATCCCCATGCTGTGTGATAATGGTTAGCCTTGCTAGATGGTCTTCCCTTCCCTCCTAAGCTGGGGAATCCTCCAGTGAGGTAATTCCCCAGGGCAGCAGCTGAGTTAGTGGTTGATCTTGTGATTGGCAATCTGGAAGCAGTGGATAAAAATGGTATTGCCAAACTAATCTACTTTTGTGGTTAAATACTTTTACTGATCTTTAGTTTTACCTGCTTCACATATATATGTATGTGTATATGTATACACATATACCTCGGTTTACATCACATGGCCATGGAAAGTCTAGTTTCTGTAGCAGTAATTCTGCGTGAGTGTTACACGTACTGTTGGAAACTCTGGACCAAATTTTTCACTTGTGTGCTGATTTTTAAAAATGGTAGCAGAACTCCACTTGCCTTAGTTCAGAGTAGAACTAGGTTAACTCGAACATACCTTGCTACCTACCAGTGTAATTTTTCCAATTTCTTTTCCTTTTGTTATTAAAAAGCTGTACAGTTATTTCATTGTATCAGTTAGTTAACCCAGATTAATTGCCACTCTATGCTCTGACTAGAATTCACTCAGATTTTCATGTTTCAAGGAATATTGACAGTGGCGTGTGGTTTTTATAGCTGGATATCTATCAGAATTTTTATGAAGGTGTAAAAACTACTTTAAGTGTAAGGACTGTTTTCCTCCCACCACGACATGTTTTAAAATTATTATCTTTTTAACTGTATACCTGATTCACATTTAAAAAACAAAACAAAACCACCTTGGTTAAGTAAGCAAATTGTTTACCTAATTTCATTAAAATTTATATATCCAGCTTGTCTTTCTAACGAGCAAGATGCTAATTCTTTAAATGGTCGGACATTTACTATTTTCTGGCCCTTGACTACCACGAGCAATCATATTTGATGCCCCTTAATTAGAGCACCCTTTTTTCTTTCCAGGTTCTTTTCCACCTCAGCAATCGAGACAATACATTTGCTTACCATGCTGCTCTCCTAAGTGTTCTTTTGCATGTAAATTAATCTTGATTCAGTTTACACTGTCATGCTGAGTGGTACAAATTGCCTATAACAATAAAACAGCATGAGTTAAAAATAAAGGGGGGTGAAAAGGCAGATTGAATGTGTGCCTTACTTGATAGGATGTTACTTTGCTTTATGCCAATACATTAGTTGACGATAATGAATCTTGTGTTCTGAAAAGCATGGTTTAGTTGATTTTTTTAATTTTACTTCAATGGAGCAGTACCTTGTCTTTTATAGAACAAGTTAGACAAACCATTAATGACAAGAGTGTTAAGGTTAAATATGAAGCAATGCATTCACTTCTCTGAGTGCTATCCATCTTTCCATTTACAGGAGCTTGACAAAAGTACTGGCTTTGTACAACATTTCCTTTAATTACATGCTGCGGGAAACAGGCTTTTAACATAAACATAGTTGCATTCATTTATTCAGCATTTGCTCTTCAATAGAGCTTAATGGAGAAGGTTTAAATCCTAAATGAGTACACACATCTCTCAGCAGTGTTATGTCAGTCCCTGTGCTCTGCTTAAAAGCAGTTTTAGGCTGCGTATGTAGTTTTTAAAGCTTTTGCCTAATAGTAAAGTTAAACAATTTGAAACAATGTTCTATTCCCAAGATAAAGCTGGTCTTTATAGAAGTTGTGTGCTTATTTTTGTTCTCTTCAAGAGGAGATCATGTTCAAAAATAGCCCATTATTTACTTATGAGCTGTTCTATTTTTACTTTGATATTTCTTATTTTGTGACAGCAGCTAATGCACATTCTATGGCATAAAAATGTTGGATTTATTTTTTTAATTGCTCTATTAAGCATCTTAGTGCCATTTGCGCTGGATTGGAACTGTATATGGAGCCCTAAAATATTACCCTTTTGAGACTTTTGCATTGTTTTCATTGTTAATGTTATCGTGGATTTCAGATTCTTCGTATTTCTGCCTAAAGTACTGTGGTGCATTGTTTGCATTTTCACCTTCTGAACATAGTGTGAAATTACACAGAGAGTGTTAAGTTGTAGTTACTATTGGGTTTTAATCAACATGAGCTTCCAGCAAATCATTCTTCAAAACAATGGATGTTGATAGAAAAGTGGCAGTTTTTGTTAAAATGTCCTTGATCAACATTCCCTTCTTTACTTTTTTTTGTTATATGTTTGGATACAATATTGATATTTCTGTCCCATTTTGTTGTGTTATTCAAATTATTTTAATCAAATAGATTATGGTAACATTTCAGAGAATTTCCCAGTTTCTAATGGGATGACCTGATCTCTATGAACTTAATTGAACCAATGACTACTATCTGAATTTCGAGATTATTTTTAGCAATTGGATATGAAGTTGTAATTAAATGCAGTGGGTTTAAAATTGAAAGATTAGAAGATGTCTTTGTATATGGTCTTACTTAAACTGGACTTTTCCAAATCAATCTCACTTAATTTCTGTTTGCATTTTTCTTTTAGGTGACGCTTTTTGTGAAAAAGAACCATCTTGGTTTCACAGTTGTATTAGTATCACATGTCATTGTTCAGCTGTTAGTAATTATAGGGCATTGCAAGTAATACATTAAACAAATGTGATTATTTAATTTATTACACAATTATTTTCTTGACTAACGGTTTAACTTTTAATGCAATGTGGTTTTTTGTTTAGAAGTCTCTTATTTTGGTTTTATGCTTAATAAACAAGCAAATCTTAAAGTACTCACAATGAAATACTTAACATTTCAGGGATGCTGACAGGAATGAATGAGACATCTACTACAATAGCTGTTGCTCCACAGAACTCTACTAGACTTGTAATAATTGAGAAGCTAGTGAAGGCAGCAAACCTGGGTGTTGTCCCTTCTGGTCAAGATAACATACACAGGTAAGATTACATCATTCGTAGTGCAACCATCTTTTAATATGAATTTGTTAGTTCAAAATCAGACGACATTTGATAGTATTAGGGAAAAAATTATTATCCACACCTTTAACAGATGAAGTACCCGATTATACTCTAACATAGAATCCTAAGCAGGTGTTAACTTGAGCCTAAGTACTCCTTAGTTCTTTATTTGAAAGTGTATATCTAGACTGTACTGTACACAGTTAGGGGGAGTTGTCCTTTCAAGGTTTTGTTTCAAAGGGAAAATGTAGTGGTTTAAAGCACAGTAATTTCAAGACCATCTGTATGGTTTTTTGACTTTTGTTTCTGTTTCTAAAAGTAAGTGGCCTTATTCAAGTATATCATCTGTGAGAAACAGCTTGTTTTTCCCACGTTGATTTTTGACCTGTGATATCCAGCTAGTTAAACCTAGATGCTTTTTTTGTGTGTTTGTTGCAGGGTTTTTTTTCAGTTGCATGAAGATCTTTTTAAATGCAGGTTGAACATTAAATTGAACATTTCTTTGTCCTTGCTATGTTTATGCAAGGAAAAACAGTGATCAGCCAAGAAAGTCAATGGCTCTGTCTAGATTCTAAATGTTACTTGTAGATCAATTCATTTCATCCAAAAACTGTGGTACAGAATGTCAGTGGAATTTATATGATTGTTGGTTAATGACAGCTTTTAATGTGATTGACTCGAAATATTTAGTCCCATGAATCTGTATGCCTTGTCACTTGTGACAGGAACAAACAGGAAAGCTGCCATGTGTCAAAAACTGAGTGGACACAAATAACAGCAAGATGTAATTGGAAGCTGTTAACCTGGTCTTGGAATAAGAAAATGCATGCATCTCTCCTAGCATCTCCTAAAGCTGTTCCAGAGTGTGAATTTACCTCTTTAGCTCCTGAATTTTGCTATTTGAATAAGAGCAAAGTATTTTCTTTTAAAACAAAGAACAGTGTTTTTCTTCGAAATTTAGCTGACCAAGATGGCTGTTTGGAATAATGAGAATCCTGTAGCCTACATAGGACTAATAACCTGGTATTTCTCTTTGTCAGATTTAGTCTACTTTGCATCGCTGGGCATTCGTATTGTATTGTATTGCATTAACATTAGCCCAGCTGGATTTTCCTATGTATTTGATACGGTCAATGATAAAATTCTGTTTCACCATAAAAACATGGTACAGCAAGAGCGATTGCACTGAAATGATTGTCACTATTGACACCTGCTCCTCCATGAGAGAGTCCTCATTTGTTGCATCCCTGAGGGATCTATACAGCCTCAACATCAATTCAAAGACTAGGTGAGAGTGTCAATCAAGGGAGACTGAAGTGTCTGCAGCATACAGGTGTTCTCCATCTTTACCTTATCCATCACATGAGACTTATCACATAGGGATGGATTGTTTTGTGACTGAGTCTTGAAAAGGCTTCCAGAAGTAATAGCTTAGTTCCTAGCTCAGCCATAGGTTTCCTGATGGTAGATAAGTTCCTAATTTGATCTTGCTTTTTTTCTTGCTCTTTAAAAAAAAAAAAAAAAAAATAAAAAGAAGAAAGGAAAGGAGGTTTTGCACAAAACAGAGACTATGACCAGCAGTAAATAAATTGAAGATGTACTTCCAGTTGGGTACGCTCCTTCAGAGACAGTGGTTAAAAACATGTTATGGTCAGGCTGAAGTATTCAGAATGTTTTAGAGCATCCTGAAATGTTCTTCTCTGATTTTGGTTTGATTCAAAATAGAATGTATTCAGTCTGCCACAGTAGTTACAGAATAGCTTGTCTTTATAATGTCCATCAGGCAATAAAAATTGTTTATAACAACTTAAATAGCCTACCAGAAATACTCAACAATGATAAGCATTTAGAAAATAGGACTTCATTTTCTTTACCATAAGTAACTGTAGTTCAATGATACCGTGTAGTCATAGTCACAGATAGTTTTTACTGAGAACAAGAATGGGAATATTAACTAATTGATACTGTGGTGAACCTGTTCATTGGATTAAATCAACTTTGCCATGAAAGTAAATAAAAATGGAGTCTGTTCTTGCAAAATCTCACGAATGCAAGAAGTGTGTCATGTTTTATTTATGTGACATGTACACCATTTCAAGATGATAAATAAGCAGTCACCTTTTACCTTAACAAAGCAGTTACAAATTCAATAAAAATATGTTAAAAGTGAATTTTTTTCGATTTCTGCATATTGTCATCTGTCTTGTTTGTTTTAGTGCAAGTGGTATTTGGGGAAAGAAATTACATACAAGAACTTGTTTCAGCTCGTCATGCTGTTCTGTGAGGACTACTTGAGTTCACTTCTTGGAAGTCCTTGGTACATACGCTTTTACACAGGAAAAGAACTATTTTTAAGCTGATGTTCTGCACTTTGCAGTATGAATTATATTAACATCTTAGTTGGTCATCCCCAACTTGACTATTACTATGTAATGATGTCTAATGCCTAGAAATTTATATTATCTGGTTAATGCGATATACTCATGCAAAATGAAATTGTGTAGTGTACTGGAAGTGTATCTGATGGACATGAACAGGTGTGTATTTCTTGCAGGTTTTTCAGTCCAAATATATTTGCACTCATGAGAAAGACAGTATCTTTCTGGTGGGACCCAATTACTGCTCCTTGAATTGATAGCCCTATTTAGGATCGTATTTTCTCCCCAATTAAAATCCTTAGAGCAAATATAATGAAGATCTGAAAATAAGTGCTTGAAGCAAATATCAACAGAATAGCATGCAGTCAGTCACCAATGAAAAATGAAAAAAATATAAACCTGTCAAATACATCAGCTGTATATCAGTCCTTATCACAGTATAGCAGCGCCTTCTTATGTGCATTTTTTTCTCTCTTTGCTATATGGTTACTGAATTCTTATGTTTACTTGAAATGTAGTTACTTAATTGTTAACTGAGTGTAGAACAAAATGCCAGATAATACAGTTGTTTCTGTCTTAAGCTCTCTTTTCTGACTGGTTTTATTTGAAGTCATAGCTGCAAAAGTTTTGAACTCAGTAGCCAATATATACATCAGAACACAAAGGTGCAGATTTATATTCGTACATATGCAAAATAAATTTGCTGTACCATTTTACTTCCTTAAGTGTAGTTACCTGTTCTTCAAATGAGTTAATACAAGCTAGTAGATTACTGGGCCTTGTAAGGCTGCATATGGTGCATTCTCATGTTCTTAATAGGTTTTAACTATGTATTGATCTCTCTTGCTCTTGTGATCAAGGGGAAACATTACTTCAGTTTTAAGGGCTTCTACTAAAAGCAAGAATGTGAAATGTATTTCAAAAGAGAAATATTTTTTTTAAGCAGAAAATATAATGTCTCCAATATCAAAACTTCAGAAAAAAAGTGTATTATTTACTTAATATATTATTTCATATGAGTGATTAGGGTATTTGTTTCCATTGCATAGCTCTTTCAATGTCTGAGAACTGTTGTTTGTTAAAAATATTTTAAGAAATGAAGGATTGGAAGTGGGTTGAGAAATACATAGATATTGACAAAGTGATTTAAAAAAGAATCAGCTAAAGCACAAAGCTTGTCTTGTGATTCAGACCACACTTTAGGTACCATTTGAATGTCTAAAGACAGAGACGTATAAAGAGAAATATTTGTTCCTGCAGCAAATTAAATCAGTCTGAATAACCACATTTAGAGACTAGGTACTTTTCAGGAATTTTTCCATCTTTAAGATAAAAGAATACATAATTGGGGACATTTATTTCCTTAAAGTTGATTCTTCTGTGGACCATCACTTCAGCTCCGTGCCTCTATCTTGGCAATAACAGTCAGTGTTTATATATCAAAAATAAATTCTAGGCTATTCTGTTTCAAAATGTGGTGAGATGAAGACTCTTCAACGCAAGATTTTCAGTAATTTTCATTTTAACAAACACAAGCCTTATTTTATCCGGAAATGCCATTCATGTTAGTGCCACCTTCAAAATGTGTTGCTTATTCCTATAACATGGATATTTAAAAAATTCCTCAGGTATCTTCCTCTTTTGTCATTTTCAGCTCCATAACCTCCTACCAGGATAGGTAATCTTCATTTTCTTCACTTTTAATATAGCAAAAGGCAACAGGTGGTGACAAAATGAAAAGGCTAGTTGCAGATGTTAATCTTAGACTTGAATGCTTATGTACCCCTTGAAAATGTCAAAATATTGTCTACTATTACATAAGGCTCTCTGCAAGAAGGAGAGGCATTTCAGGGTAAATAGGCTTAGAAAGAAAATAATGGAAATACACATTTCCACTCCCTACAAGAGATAACGCAAAAGCTTTTAATATGTACACAGTAGCATATAGCAGAAAAGTCTGTTCAGAGCTGGCATCATCAGAAGCAAACTGGATTTGCTTCTTCCCTCTTTAACTTTCTTTTGTGCTTGAGTGATTCCATTGACGTCAGAATATAATGTGTAATGGAATGGAGAATCAGGCTGTCTTGAACTGCCTTCCTCTCTGCCTTCTACTTCCTGAAGTATTTCTTAAATGGGATGTATTACGCTCTAGTAGATCATTTCCCTCAGTGACCATGGCTCTACAAAATGATGTAAGGTAGAACACCTTTTCCATGCTTTTTGTTCTTGAAGGCTTTACTTGTACATTACCCAATCAGTCAGATAAAAGTCTGAACCTATCAGAGTGGACATGAAGAGCAAATTTTAGGCAACCTCAACCCATTTAATAGTCCATTGAACTAGTCTGTTGCTGCTGTTGTATTTTGGAAGGAATCCACAATTAGTAACAGGAAATAGTTGGATTAGAATGTGAGCCTGCTGTCATCTACATCTCTTTTCTCCAGTTTATTAGGATGGCCTTAACCATTGACCTCAGCACTCTGAGACACATGGCACCATTAATTTCAGTCCTCTAATTTGAGATGGGCAAGTCTGTAATTTCAGCAACCCAATAGCAACAGCCTGGGGTTTTGAAGACAATCAAACCTCAGCTTCATCCAA